ATCGATGATCAACTGTGTGCGCCTACACAATGAAGCTGAGAAGCTTGGGTTTTTTTTTATTTAACTTCCATCGCGGTTAAGCACAGGTCCAAATGCTCCCAAAATACCAATGGCCCTGTTGGCCAAATGGGGTGTGTGCAAAAAACCCATAACATAAAAACACATACTCTTGGTTCTTTCGGTAAAGTCACATAGGTAAAGAAAATCTAAAATAAAAATACAATTAAAAATCAAAGATAAAAAATAAAAATAAATAAAATTAAATCACGACGTTTCGATTGCAACAAAGCAATCATCATCAGGTGTGAACACCACAGCAAGAAAATGTATACTCTATAAATTAATAAATTTTCTTGCTGTGGTGTTCACACATGATGATGATTGCTTGTGTTGCAATCGAAACGTCGTGATTAAATTTTATGGATTCATATTTTTTATCTTTTATTTTATTTTTATTTATTATTTTCTTTGCCTACGTGACTTTACCGAAAGAACCAAGAGTATGGATCATTGCTGTCACGAAAACTTAAAATATAGAATACAAACACATTACATGCAAATCCATCCAGACCAACGTAGAACCATGATGACCCACGGGGAATCCACAGAGACTCATAGAGACCCATGTGGTCCAATGGGAACCCATGCAAGCCGGGGTGGACTCACAGACCCGTTGCATCCAAACCAATCAAGACCGCTGCAGATTGGTGCAGATCTATGGGGTCCCCCAGTAACCTACAAACCCATTCAGAACAATGTAGAACCACGGGGATTCATAGGGACCTGTGTGCACCGATGAGGATCCTTGGTGACCCACAGAGACTCATAGAGACGCATGTGGCCCCCATGGAAACCGATGCGAACCCATTGAGACCTATTGTGGGCCAATGCAGACCGGGTGCATATTTTATGTGTAGAGATACCGGGGAAGGAGGCATTTTGTTCACTTAATTTTCTAGAAAATTATATGTGGTGGTCACGAGGGTGCCGCTAAGTTTCATCGGTAAGGTTACTTACAGTTACATAGGGTCGCTCTCTCTTAGACAGAGGCTGCTCTTCCCATGTGACCCACATTGGGTCCGGTATGGGGCGCTACGGTGGCTAGGAAATGTTAACTACCTCGCGTGGTATACAGGAGGATCGTGGGTTCGATCCCGACCCTGACGCCTACTGAATATGTTTATTTGGCGTGTTTCTTTCTCTCCCCATGGATTTTTCTCCGGGTCCTCCGATTTTTTATCTCTCTACATTTATAAACGTGGGTTTCGAGTCCACGTGCTAAGCCAAGGATGGAGCTCGCTTGAGATGACGTTAACTCACAGCCGGCTCCTTTGTTTACCATTGGCTCGTGTCGCAACATCAGGGAAGTTAAGTTTATTTATTTATTAGGTATACCCTGTGAGCTATGCGGCTCTTGAATCGGGTGCAATCGCAGCAAACAAAAACATGAACAAGAAACATCTTAAAGTGGCTACTATCATACTTGAATGCCGCCCATAAACGAGCCCCTATTTTGCACACATAACCGGTTTAAGGAGGGCCACGCTAACCATGAACCAAAAAAATCGCTTCTCTCTACAGCCACGAGACCGGCAGGTGTATTGTGGAGGCGATTACGATACGAGCCCAGGGAGGTATTAGCGAACTGAAAACCCCATCACTAAGTCAACAGCGACTTCTCTTATTTTGAACTGGGTCGGCCCAGTTGAGTGGTCATGAATGCAGCAACCTGAGTTCTATTTAAGGTCACGGCTAACATCGGTGGCGAGAGCGATAACTGAACGGGTCCTGGTAACCCCCTTCACCAACCCGCAATGGGCATGGTCAGGCAATGTGGTGAATTGAGAATGTAGCTGTATAATAATCTTTTAACGACAATTGATGACTCGATCTATCAGATCGCCTGGTTCATTCCCGTCCGTACTGTGTTCAGCCACCACGCCTGCAGGTCACGAAACTTATTTTGTACTCTTTGGTTCTTTCGGTAAAGTCACGTAGGTATTGAAAGAACCAAAGAGTATGGATTCCTGCAGTCACGAAAGCTTGACATCAAGATTGAAACTTATTTTGCCACACTGCTCGTATTTCTAATTCCTATCGTCTCTTATCGCAGTTTCCGAAAACCTTGCCCGTTGTTGCTGGCCACCTGGCGTTAAGGTGCAGCTGTGGGGGTCGCTGGCCCCCGAGATCCCTCCCTCTGTACCGCTAACGGCCGGGTTAACCTCATTATTAACCTCATTACTCGCCCCCTCGCCACTAGGCGAACCGCTGTTGGGTTCTTCACCCATGGGGTGAGAGCCGTCGCTCGAGGATTCCCCTCCCCCGCGGGTCCGCGTAATAGGCATGGTTAATTACGTACGCGCACACCCACACACAGCTCTGCGCGGCACTCACTCAATACAGACCACTCACGTTAGGATCGCGCACCTGTATTATACACGTAGTGAACGTGCGCGCACACACGCATACAGCTCCACACGCGATACCCACTCTTGCGCCGCTCTGCGCAGCGCTCGCCGCCTGCTGGCCGCTTACGTTATGATCGCGCACCTGGGGTACGCCGATTACGCACGCCGCGAGCTTACGCACACACAGTACCACACGCGTTCCCACACGCTCACACTGCACGGCAAGATCACGCGAGACCACGCTTCGCTATTAATGATTTATTACCTGGTAACTAATGTTGAATCAGTGAGTCGACGAGGCTGGCCTATTCCACTAAACCGGCACCTATTCCCTATTTATCGACTATTATCCTACTTCACCTCCCCACTCACTGTTTGGCGCCCGCGGAGGTTCGCTGCTCCCTGCGCTAACAACGTACCTCGATGCGTCTCACGGACGTCCGGGTCGCTGGCTGGAGCTGCTGCTGGTCCGCTGGCTTGGAGAGAAGAGAGCGATTTCCCCTCTGCGCCCCTCTATTTATCCTCCCTACCTCAAAAGGGATGCTGCGCTAAACAATGGGCTCGCGATCCTCTGGCACGCGCACGGCGGTTCTGGGCGCTGTTGATATGCTAATCAGTGTGCTGCGTGCAAGGCGTAAATCCTAATTAATCCCTTACCCTCCCTAACAATGGGGCCTGCGCGCTCAAGCGCAATTATCCCAACCCTCCATGACTATGCTCAACAGCCCCTGTGATCCCGCTATTCATGCTGTCCCGTGCCTCCCCTGCTTGCCCCGTCGACTCGTGGGGGTGTGTGTGGGGGGAAATGCGCCTCAACCGCGGTGGCCGAATGCCCCACGCCGCGACCACACCATATTAAGGCCGGCCGCAGCGCCGCGGTGCCACGTAGCACGGGGGAGGTCATCCAATTCCCTGATCGCCGGAAACCGTGAGAATTAATCCCGATAAGGGTCTCTCGGATAAAAACCGGTCGGCCAGGCGACCTCCCCTCGGAGCTCTATGGGGGGGGGGGGGGGGAATGAGTGCGGGTGTGTTCATGTGAGGTGAGGGATACGCGGGGTCGGCTCCGTTGCTTGGTGGTGGCGAGGTCGGGGATTTGGTGCCTGCCGAACGGCTTCGCGGTGGCGGCATCACACAGCCCTGCAATTGCTTGGCTCACGCCACCGTTGGCAGACGAGCGTCAACTGGAGGAAGAGGGGACAGGGAATTTTGGTCTCCACTTCCACGCTGGCCAGGCGACTTGAAACACTGTGGTGGTGTTCCCGTGTCCTACCACCACCACTCGTGCACTACCACCCCTACCCGTGTACCACCACCACAACCCGTGTACTACAACCACTACACGTGTATCACCACCACCACCCGTGTACCACCACCCGTGTACTACAACCACTACACGTGTATCACCACCACCACCCGTGTGCCTCCACCACCACCACCCGTGTACAACCACGACCACCCATGTTCCACCACTGCCACCCATGTATCACCATCACCCGTGTACTCCCTCCACCAGTGTACCACCACCACCCTTGTACCACCACGACCACAATCCATATACCGTCACCACCCTGCTGTGTAGGCAGAGGCGGGTGGGGATGGGGAGAGCGGAGGATTGTGGGGGATGAGGGGGATAAGATGTCAAAGGTCACAGAGCGCCTGCGTGTCTGTCTGTTGCACCGTACGTAGCCAACCGCGCTAATCGGAGGTGCGGGGGAAGGACAACAAACTAAAAACTAAAATCAGTTTTAAAGAAATGAGATTTCAATCTCGGTTTAGGCGGTTACTTGCCCACGCCATTGCGTCGGGCAGATTCAACCCGTTGCAGTCTGCATTCTGGAAGTTCCACAGCAGTGAGACGGCGCTACTGAAGATCACTGATGACCTCTACAAGATCACGGATGACCTCTACAAGATCACGGATCTCTCAGCCTCCTTCTACACCATCAACTGTGAGACACTCATCGGGCGGCTAAGGTCAAGGTTCGGTGTGTCGGGTACGACACTGGAGTGGATTAAGTCATACCTAGACGGTCGATCACAGTTCATCAAACTGGGTGACGAACATAAGGATAGGTTTTCCCCTTTCTGGCAATTAAACAGGTGTTAAGATGTTAAAACAAATGTTCCAACACCCAACAGAAACCCTTTGCAAGGGTCATGTCTGCATTAGCCACACATACTTGTGGTGAGCATGCTCTGATAATATATATTACCAGAGCATGTTTTTGTTTGCATGTTCAGCAAAAGGGCTGTGTGGTTAATGCAGTAACTTTATTCCTTGCAAAATGTTTCTGTTTGGTGTTTGAACATCTTAACACCGTTTAATTACCAGAAGGGATAAAACGTATTCTTACATGGGTGACGAACAGTCATCGCCTACATATATACACACATATGTAAGAAACTATCCCATAAATCAAGTGCCGAACCGGGAGATGAAAATAGAACCAGCAACCTCCGATTTGCAATCTCAAATCGTTAACGACGACACCATGCCAGCATCCCAATAGAGTGTAGTCATGTACTGTATTAGCATTGACATATAAAAGAATAGGCAAATATCAGCCAACAGCTTTTATTGGTTACACGGAGTAATACATGCTCAATGCGTTGGACACAGATACAATGCGTTGATTTGTATGATAATTCACCTTAAAATTCCAAGTATTCATTTGATTGTAATACCAACCAAAACTTATCATAAAAGAATGGGATTTTTTCTACAGTAATGTCGATGTCAATATCTTAGCTAGTAATATCAAACTTTGTGCAATGTTTGCTGATTGTCGTAATGATACATTTCAGCCGCGTGCTGAAGTACACATCTGCACATGTGCCCCTAGTAAGCCAAAAGCTTGCTTATCGAGGGGAGTTTCACATTAAGGACTTATTCATTTTGTTTACAAATCTTTTTTAAAGCAAACAAACACGAAGAGAGTGGCGGCACTGCGGTGCACAAAACAAACAGTAGAGGAGAAGCAGCTGTCTCAACAGCAAACAAGGAAAGCACCTTAGCAACACGGGCTGAGGAAACTCCAAAGTAGCATGTGTCAAGACAAGCCAGAGACTGCCCAGTCACTGCTGCAGAACCGGCGAAGGAAATACTTGTTTAGTATTTGTGTATACGGTATGTTTTTTAAGAGAGTACAAGCTTTGAAATATACAAGTTTTTACTGCTGGATGAAGCTGGGTACTTCCTGCTAGTGATATATAATTTAATTATTGCAACCAGATTAAATTACACAATGGTTCTGGCAAATGCCCTTCTATGTTTACTGTCGTGCAGAATTCCCCAATCACGTTAAATAGCATTACAATCTTGCCTTTGCCTAAAAGTATTTCAATTCAGAGCTACAATCATGTTTCCAGGCTCGATTGAAGTACATCAAAAAAGTTATCGAGACAAAACGTCTATCACGTGAAGAATCACATATATTGCAAGTTAAAATCAATGTTAAATAAAAGTTAAAACGTAAATTCCCTGCGGCACAAATCGGTGTGTGTGTTAAAGGTGAACTTGACCCAATGAGTCTCTCCAAGTTGAAAGTCAAAAACCCGCTCCAGAGTTGTCTCGTATTGAGCAATGCTGCTGAAGTTATGCACACCCAGAAGGCCGTGCGGCTGATGGGACATACAACACAAATGCTCGCGAATTTATCTGCAGGGAAAACATTTGTAAAGGATACTATTTTGTGTGCTTATATATGTGTTACTTATATTCTCCACAACAATGCTAATGCGTATTGTGTTAGCTGATTATGATAACCTTACAGGAACTGTAGAGAAACTCTATCATGAAGCCAGATGTATCTCAGTGTTCACGCCTCTTAACAGGCCTCAGGTATTGAGGCCTTTATAAGGACTAGGAGGGGTCTGACAAAAGGGCTGATTTCCATTTGTCTCAGATTCTTTTCCACTACACACACACTCACATGACGGTTTATTCGATGTCATCTAGAGAATCCAGACTCAGCATTGAGTGAAGTTCGTCTGGGCGTTGCAGGGTTGCTAAGGAGCCTTGGGTGGAAAAATTCCCCATGGAACTAGAGCCGCTCGGAGGGGCATCCTTCTGTTGAACAGAAGCACGACGGCAACGCAGCACCATCAGCACCATCAGCACAGCAATCCCGAGGGGGATGCACGCTGCTACTGCAGCTGTCGCTGCATAAGCTTGGCCATTTGCAGATACATCTGGGCCTGGTTAACAACAACACGCACACATTGATTAAGAACACCCGGAGAAGTACCGATGAAGAACATGTTCGTCATCCATTTTTGTTATTAAGCCACTGCCGTGTGCAAGTAGAATCATCATACCGCTGCAGACGGCGTCGCTGGTGTTCGTGCACGGAGACTGCTCTCGTTCACAGCTTCACAAAGACACGGACACACGCACACGTCCAACAGTTTCAGAAGACGAGTAAGATAATGTCACCGTCACCACTAATTGGCGGTGACATCTCGAGGGCGATTTTGAATTCTTCGCCGCAATCTGTGACCACGGAGAGTGGCAGAGGTGGTGCAGACCCCCAACCAAACTCTTTTTACGGGTGACTCCGTTAGTCCACCTTTCACATTTTTACCACGGCGTGCGGTTAGCACTGGGGAATGGGAGACGTCGCAAAGTGTTCTGCACTGGACCCACCGTGTGCAATTTTGGCAGCGGGACCCGGGACGGTCACTAAACGTGCCTGGAGGACAGTCAGTGCACGTGGTGACGAAATCCGTATAGGAACCTGGAGGGTGGGTAGAGAGGTGAGACGGTGCTAACTCAGACCATCGTCTCTACATTTAGTATTTTTTTCAGTTTACCAGGTAAGGTCCACTGAGCTACTATACCGCTGTTTTTCAGTAGTGACCTGGCTATCATACATGAAAGCTCAACGTTAACTACCTTGCCCGGTACACAGGAGGTCGTGAGTTCGATCCCGACCCTGATACCTGCTGTATATTTGGAGTTTCCATGTTCTCCCCATGGTTGAGTGGATTTTTCTCCGGGTCCTCCATTTTTTTCTTCCACATTTAGAATCAATGTGCGTTTAGAGTATTTAGCTGTTACAAATTTGCGGCCAGGTCGACGAGGTCTACCGGTATAACTCGGAAAAGATGTGGAATTGTAGAAAATATGGAAAGACTTTTCAGTGTCTGGGATTGAAAATCAAAGTCAGAATAGCGTTCGATTCGCAAGTTGAACATCCAGGAAAATTCTCAACGTTTTAAGAAATCAAGAAAAATCACGGTGAAGAGGCCCATGTGTGTGCATAACTCCAAGCCAATGCTCACTCAAGAGGCCTTGATCAGCAAGGCCTTCAACCATCTCTGGCAAGTTTTGTCTAATTATTAGTATTTATTATTAGTTAAAATATGTTAACTTATAATAATATGGATTTTTGTACACTTCATGATATTTAATCACGCATTTTTTCCCCAGACATGTCGGATAGGAACGCGACCCCTGGTTGTAACATGGGAAATTATAGTTTGTCTTATGACATAATTTCGAGTTAAGTAGTATTTCCCAGGAACGCATCCCTTACGTATAGCGGGCGGGGGACTCCAGTATTGTGCTTATACCACATTCGTGACATGTCGGTGCTTTTATGGTGAACCGATGAGGACGGTGATGAAGGTTGGTTTCTCACATTCGTTCAGACTCTCCATGCCCGCTGAGCATTTTGGACAACACCAGAACAAGGTTCCATCCTTTGCAAATTTCGTGATGTTCTCGACCTTCTTACAGCCACACCTGCGGCGAGTTAAAGAGACACATACAACCCAGGGTGCCTGAGTACCGAACGGCTTGGAAACGTCTATAAACTGTGTAGGCCGAGAAGATGGCATGTACAGACTATAAGCGAGCACCTATTAAGGGCGGCACGGAATATGATAGCTACACACACGCAACAAAAACGCGCGCTCACACACATGCATGCACATATATGTTATCATAAAATTATAATTTATGATGTTGCACGTACCTTGTGTTCCGAGTAGGTGTGCAGTTCTCTATCGTCACCTGGTGAAACCCTACAAACGACACAGACATCTTTTAAAGGTTTTTTTTCTTCAAGTATAGCGTGTAAGTTTAAGATGAATAATTAATTTATTGGGCTAGATTGACCTGGTAAAATGTAAATTAGAGATATGCATGCTCTACCAACTGGACACAGCCAAACAGGCCAAATTGTCATCTGGGGCACGAATACCAAAGGATTTACACAAATTCTAAAAATTGTGAGTCCACCATCAAATTTCGATTTAAAGCTTTCGTGACTGATGGGATTCATCTTCTTGGTTCTTTTGGTAAAGTCACGTAGAAGGGAAATAATAAAATAATAAAAATAAAACACAATTAAATAATTATCACGACGTTTCGGCCACAACGCAGACGCTGTCTTTCCGACAGACCTGTTCTTCATCTGAGGACGGCTGCTTGCGTTGTCTTGAGAATTATTTTATTATTTTTTATTTTTTATTATTATATTATTTCCCTTCTACGTGACTTTACCAAAAGAACCAAAAAGATGAGTCCACCATCACTCTGACACGGCTGCACATGTGGCGCAGAGTGTTAAGAAGGGGTCTGAAATACGCCCCCGCCCCCCCACCTCATAAAAAAGTCATATCAGAGTGCAACAAATGTCACGCCTCTGTACGATGGCTGGTTAGTAATCTAAAGGATTTGACTTGGATAGGAAATGCAATGCTGTGGCTCCGCCCCTACCCCCGGCACGCTCGCGCAATCCGTAGCCCCCCGCCCCTGTGCTGGTGTGACGCCGTCAGTGTCAGAGAGGGAGAGTGGAGTACTCCTCTGTACACGTGCCGTGTACTTGAGTCAATGAAAGGGTATATATATCAAGTCTAGTAACTATAGCTATGGTGTAAAGATCAGTGGGACAAGATTAGAATCTGTTATCGAGGAAGTTGCTAAGAAAGTTAACATATGTCTGAACACGCTGACAAGATGGCGTTCGTAATGTTACAAAGTCTTTAAAAGCATTGCTGATTTAATGCACACTTCAGAATTCAGAGTACCGTAGTTACAGACCTTAGAGGAATATCAACACTCGTTTGTGAGTATGGCTCTGGTCAACCGTACAGAATATAATTAAATGCTGTAATTAACGTGATTCTTGATATAAATAATATATTTAATGCACCTTTAATACTGCAAATTTGTTAAAGCAAATACATAGTCTTTCAGAGGCACACTGTAACTGTATTAAATGCTTTTGAGACGCTGTGACCAGACCCATTAACGAGTTCTGAATCGTTTCTTTGGAAGAATATAATGTACGTGGTGTTTATATTCTTAATTATCGAGTAATTAGTACAATACATGCCGCTTTAATATGGTTGTTGAGCGATGTATGGTACTGTATCTGATTGCAATCGATGGATAATGTTAAAGAGTCTATCTAGTTCACGGAGATGGTCATTATGCTGAGTTATTATGAGAGTTAGCAGTAGTCCCAAACAAAACTTTGATTAGTGCATCGTGTAGGGCTCATCGAGAGGAATAGAATGCTGTACCGTTCGCCTTCAACATACATAAAATGGCGTCGCAACGCAGTTTATGTGAGAGCTGGGGGCTTATGGGACCCCGGGGTCCCGCCATGAGGTTCATATAATGCATTTATTTATTTTAAATGTTGATTGTCCAAACTCCACCCATGACTGTGACCACCAGGGGCGATAGTGAAGCCAGTTTCAGAGAGCAAGCAGTGGCAGTGAGACGCGCGTGGGCTGAGAGCTGGGGGTCGCTTTCTCCTATAGGGCAGGTTTCGAGTTGGAGCAGGAGAATTAAAAATTAACCCGTAAAAACAAAGTTTTTCACTATAAATCGTTTATTTGCGTGGCGGCTAGAGTCTTCTCGTCCTCTGGCTTGAGATGGCTGCCACCTATGGGTCAGATGATTGCCTGCCACCATTAAGCAATTGGTAATTAAATATAAAAAATATTTTTCCTAAAAAGTGTAAAATTTTAAAAAACATTTTTCACGAAAATGTATTGTCACACACAACGAGTGTGCAAAATGTCAGCTCGATTGGATCACGGGAAGTGGGTTAAAAAACGACCGAAAGATTTGCACGGTCGTAAGCGCGCAAGCGCGCAAGCAAGTGAACTTAATATAAAGGATTTAAAATGGGAATCTACCCCTGGGGAAGTCTTCACGTCCATCGTTATGTGCATGGCAACCTCCGAGTTCACTTAAAAACTCATATTCCGGGGTCTTTCGGTAAAGTCACGTGGATAGGTTCAAAGATAGGTTTAAAGAAAATATTATTTTCTTTCAACCTAGCTACGTGACTTTACCGAAACACCCAAGAATATGAATTCCTGCAGTCACAAAAGCTTGAAGTCAAAATTTTGCAAACTCGTTCTAAAGTAATGCTCTGCCACTGGACCGGACATGTATGCTCTATAGTTCGGAAGTGCTACACGTGGCAGCAGAGTTCAACATGTTTGTATTGTTTGTGGCTGTTGTGCGCGTTTGTAGTTGTTTGAACAATTGTGTGCGTTTGTATTGCTTGTGGTTGTTGGTGTTGTCTTTGTAGTTATGATAGAACGGTTGCATCTGCGTGTGTAGTTTATGGCACAATTTTTGTGTTGTACGATTCTGGTTGAGTACTTTATGGTTGTGGTTGGGCACTGGATATGGTGTGGCTTGAGTGGTTGTTAACATCATTCCAAATTACATTTTAAAAAAGCGTGTGACGTTCACAACATTGCCTTCTAGTTTATCACCAACTCTGGTAACCTAACAAAGTTAACATTACTTATAACCATTTGATAGACTATTGTAAACGTAATAACATGGCGTGTGTTAAACTCGGATGCACTATTGTAAAATCACCTGGAATGCAGCGCGTGCAGTACTCGCATCTGGGGTAGACGTTGTACTCCGAGTTGAAGGTGCCCTCAGGGCACGGCTCGCAGCCAGTCGGCGAGTCCGCGGTGCACCAAGCGGATCGAAAGTGTCCTGTCACCCAATCACGAACATAGACACTCGTGTAAAATGACGTCTGTTAGCTCATGTTTATTTTTACAACTTGGTACACTGTGCAAGGCCACTCGACGGGTAGCAACGATTGGCTACGTACAGTGTGAAAACTGTTCAACAGGAATACAAGATTACTCTTTGGTTATTTTGGTAAAGTCACGTAGGTAGAAAAAATAATAGATCACGACGTTTCGATCGCAACACAAGCAATCGTCATCAGGTGGGACAACTACGGCAAGAAAAAACTGCTGAAGTAGGCATACAAGATTGTTCACACGAATTTCAAAGTAGGGTACCCATGTTAATCTGAGCCTACAGAGAACTAGCATTAGTCAACAAAAACGTCAATGTCCACAGCTCCTAAATGCAATCGCATCGTAAGACACAATACAATAAATAATGAACATTAGAGTTTGTTGTCGAGGTTAATGCGTTGAGGTTGGAGGTGTTCAACATGCGGAAAGATTTATTGGGGAAGGGGGGCATGTCCAGAAGATTTGAGGTATCAAGGGCCGATGGTAGAGTGTTAGATGGGCTGCCATTCATTAGCATTAGGCCGTGGCCAGGAAGGTTTCACTAAGAATGCTTATTGACAATGCAAGAAGGGGAGAACATTTTGCGTGAGAGAGATAGTAATAGAATTTTGAAATTGGCCACTCAAGCATTGGTGTTGGCTATGTACAATGCAAAAGAAGTTCAACATTCATGATCGGTTTTGTTTCCGCAATCATTTTGATTTCTTACCAGGAGTACACTGATCACAGCAGAGGCCATTCACTTCATATTGCGTGGAGCGATTGCAAAATCCGTGTGCCGTATGCACGACTCCAATCAGCCACAGCACCTGGTTTTAGAGCACACACAACGCGTACACGCAGACATAAACATAAATGGTGGTGACGTCACCATCGTGCATGTACCAGGCCAGGTGCACTTTGGGGCCACGGGAATTGTCAATGTCTCGCTGACAGGAGGTCACGGGCCAGACCTAGGTGCCATGGGTTGACTTAGATGATTGGAAGATGCACCAGCTGTGCCCCCTATTGTGCCAAATAGATGCATTTTAGCCGCCTGGCGCTCTGCTCTATGTGCGCGTCACTTCTCTGCCTTCCGTTGTTGTTGGAGGGCGACTGCCTCCAACTGCCCAGCAGCTTCCTTCACGAACTTCCTGTTCCACAGAAACTTATTTTGACACTGCTGGTACCAGTCTTCGGCAAGTTAACTCAGCTCCACATCCTCCAGTGGTGCATCAGTCCATCTCTTCTCTAGCCCGTGTCGTGCCCGTTTAGCCCCCTCTATTTGGCTAAACAAAAGCTGCTTGGGCATGCGGTAGCTGGGCATGCGGGCTACATGACCCAGCCAATCCAGCATGGTTGAACCCAGGATGGATCGTTGGTAGACTTGCCTGAATGTTTCTAACGGCACAGATGTTCCATTTGAGCGGTCCACGTTTCGCAAGCATAGAGAAGGGAGGGCATGTATGTGGCCTAGAAGACACGAAGCTTCATCTGGTGCAACAGATCAGGTAGTTTCCATGCGGCATTACGCAGCCGATGAAAATATAATGCCACCCGACTGATTCGTAGTGAGCCCTCTTTTGTCAAACTGTTGCTGGTCATATGCACACTGGCCAGGTATCGAAAACGTGTACAAAGACAAAGATCCCCCGTTATAGCCTTAACACACTGTTAAGCAAGCACCTATGAAGTCCGGAACAGTACGCGAGGGGGTGGGTGGCCAGCACCACGCCCAGCTGCCTTTGTCTCCCTAGTGGTGATGCTTACAAATTACACCAGGCACTGAGTTGAGGCTTAGTTGACATAGGTGAGGCCCAGGACCAGTTCAGATAATCTTTACTCGTGTTGACCATGAGCGGGAATCGAATCAGGGTTGCCAGGTTCGTAGTGCAGCGTGCTAACCACTACACACACGTACACACACGTGTGTAGTGTGCACGCAGACATGAACACATACATTTCCTCCGCCTGGCGATGTCGACACCACAACGTTAATAATCGATTCGGCAAATGTGTTAAGTCGTTTGGTCAAAGTTTGAACGTGGAAGGGATGCTGGTCGATGGTCGAGACTAACGATGGAGTGGCTGCCAAAGGAGGGGAACGGGCGCTTGGGAGGTCATCCGTCACCGTGGAGATGGAGGAGTGACATTAGCTCGAGTGGCTGTGTAACGAACATTTTTATCACCTCGGGGAACGTCCGATCGGGCGTGTTGCCTCATTTGGCTGCTACTTCTACAAACGTTTTATTTTACCAGGTACAGCCCACTGAGCCGTATAGCTCTTTTCAAGAAGCCACCTCGCTTTCACAGATGATAGTTAAAGAACGTGGCTTATCGTGTGGACATTAATTGCGGCCTAATAATTCAAATGCACGTTGATTTTGAATGTGGAGGTGAAAAACTGGAGGACCCAGAGAAAAAGCCACGTGACTACCATGGAGAGAGAGAGAGAGACACGCAAACTCCAAATATACAGCAGATGTGACGGCCGGAAACGAACCCATGACCTAAATTGGAACAAAAAAACGCAACTTAAAAAAAAATAAAAGTCAAAAAATGCGTGTGGGTTTGTGTGTGATTGCGCGCTTGGCTCTCCAACGGTGGGGTTTTCACGTGAAAAAGAAATAGCCAGGTACCACGCCGTAAGCCCCGCGGTGAGCAAGTGATCTTCCTTTATCACATCCATCAACTTTAAATGAGTTTAATTAGCGATTTAGTGCGATTTTAGTGTGCTTCCATTTTATTTATTTATGATGCGTGCACGACGATTCGCACGCCTTTGGTGGGAGTGAGGGGGATATTTTATTTCGCGTTAAAAATGCTGTAAAAATACACTAAACGCTGACGTCAATTCTTCACTGTGTGATGTCCCTCCCACCCCGATGCATGCAGTTATTACTACCATACAGTCGCTAGATGCTACCACTATAGGCCGTTGATATTACTGCAGAGCGGCCGGGGAGATCGTGGCTGGGGGAGGCGGGGGTAGCAGCCCAGCCCCAGCCTGCCAAGGTGTCACCTCGGCCGGCTGGACAGATCTAGGCGAGGCCGGAGGCTCTGCACGGGGCTGGGCCTCACCATGCCACTCTGTCAGGTGTGTACTTTGTGCTATACAGTCGATAAATACTGATATAGAGTCAGCATATACTACTCTAGTGATAGCAGGTACGACCACAGTCGGTATGCACTGATGCAATCATAGCAGGTACCACCACAGTCAGTATGCACTGCTGTAATCATAGCAGGTACCACCACAGTCAGTATGCACTGCTGTAATCATAGCAGGTACCACCACAGTCAGTATGCACTGCTGTAATCATAGCAGGTACCACCACAGTATACACTGCAGTGAAAGCAGGTACCACCACAGTATACACTGCAGTGAAAGCAGGTGCCACCACAGTATGCACTGCTGTAATCATAGCAGGTACCACCACAGTACGCACTGCTGTTAAGTTTTGAAATATTTTTAAGACCCGGGCAACGCTGAGTGCTTCCCACTAGTTTACCTATGTGGCTCTTTTTCTGAAGCAACCTGGCCACAAATGATCGCTCAACGAAGTGGCTTACCATCGCGTGGAAATTTAAAGTGGACAAATAATCTAAACGCACGTCGATTCTATGGAGGGGAAAACTGAGAAATATCCACGTGACCACCAGGGGGTGTGGTGGGGGAGAGACAAACTCCAAATATACAGCAGGCGTCAGTCACGGGGGTAGAATCCATGACCTCCGGCTGTCCAGGTGAACGAGATAACATCTCACCACCGCGGCGCCCCAAACGTTCGCCTAGAGCAGCAGCGAAATGTTAATTCTGGTTGTATACTCACAGCCAAAAACGACATATTGACTTGATAAGTTGGTCCTGGATGACACGCGCTTGTGCCTTGGAAAGAGTGCCGTAAGTGCCAAGGTAGAAGAACAGTTGGCTTTTGTTACTTGCTGTTTGGATCGCGTCCTGCTTAATCTCAGCGTGATGATTATCTTGCTCGTTTGCTCGACTGAGTTTTGTCAGGAAGTTCATTGTAGTATTTAATGAATCTGGGCACACTAGAAAAAAACGGAACAAAAATCTCAATGTTATAACATTGTAGCCTGTTGGTGTGTGTACACATGTGGTTTGCGTATGTGTATACATGTGGTGTGTGTACACGTGTGTGTGTGTACACGTGTGTGTGTGTGTACACGTGTGTGTGTGTACACGTGTGTGTGTGTACACGTGTGTGTGTGTGTACACGTGTGTGTGTGTACACGTGTGTGTGTACACGTGTGTGTGTGTACACGTGTGTGTGTGTGTGTACACGTGTGTGTGTGTACACGTGTGTGTGTACACGTGTGTGTGTGGGAAGGGGAATGGTTAGTGCGCCGCGCTGTGAACCCGGCAACCCGAATTCGATTCCCGCTCACGGGCAACAGCACCGGTGACGATTAACTGAACCGGTCTTGGGTATTTCCTAGGTCGACTCAGCCCTAAATGAGTACCTGGTGCGATGTGTAAACATCGCCACTAGGGAGACAAAGGTGGCCGGGTGTGGTGCTGGCCACCCACCCCCTCGTGTGCCCTGCCGGCCTTCATAGGTGCTCGCTAACAGCACTTGCCCCTACAGTCTGTTAAGGCTATAAGGGAGATCCTTGTCTTTGGAGGGAGGAGGGAGAGGTTTGTGTGGATGAGACGGTAGAGAGGGAGACAGTGGAGAGTGAAGAGGTGATATAGACGATACGGGGGATCTCGCCCTGTGGTTTATCATGCGTTGTAAGTATTACAATTGATGTTTTATTACAAAATTATACAGTAATTTGTATATCTCGTTTAACAAAAGTTGGAACATTTTGGGGCTGAAACATATCTCAGATTTTAACACGGTAGTCAGTGGGAAAACGACGATCGTTTAACAATTGTTCACTTACAGATCAATTTTCGGGAAGTGAACACGATACTGGCAAGAAACTTCGCACGATGTAGCTGTTGACCCCGAGCTATAAATGCCCTGTGCTGGGTTGGAAGGGGGGAAAAGTGCGCCAACCCAGCTTAAATAGACGCCCCAAGCGTGGTGGTGTTTCATTTAGACGCTGTCGCCTCGACAGACCTGGTCTTCACCTGAGGACGGCTGCTTGTGTTGTGGCCGAAACGTCGTGAGAATTATTTTATTATGTTTTATTTTTATTATTTTATTATTTCCCTTCTACGTGACTTTACCGAAAGAACCAAGAAGATGAATCCCTGCAGTCACGAAAGCTTTAAATCGAAATTTAATGTTTTATTTATATTATTTTATTAGTTCCCTTCTACGTGACTTTACCGAAAGAACCAAGAAGATGAATCCCTGCAGTCACGAAAGCTTTAAATCGAAACTTAGCTGCTCTGTTCCTCTTTGCTGACGACAATACCTTGTCAACAAAGTTGTTAGTTTTATGTGAGTCATCATTGACTGAGTGACGGTAACTACGACTACCCAACAAGACCAAATATATCAAGAGCCACGATCAAGCCACTGCTGGATGAAATTCTCAAAAAAAGCCATTGCCATTTCCTGTGATCTGGGGCCGTCCATAAATGACATGACGCACCGAGGGGGGGAGGGGGGTCAACCATTTGTGACGATGTGTGACGAGGGGGGAGGTTTTTTTTTAGAAATGTGACGTCACGTCAAAATGCGCAACTTTGAATATATATTAATTCAATAGATATGTTATAACAACAACTAATTTTGATAAATTTTCATTATTATCTATTTGATTATTTACATTTACCAAGGTCACCTTTTTTTATTCCATGAAGGAGCATTTTGCTTCTCCATGGGAGAATGGAAAAGCATACATTTTGTAAATTTTTTGAATGATTGTTATTAAACATTTTGTCTAATTATTCTACCAGGGCTTTTCATTCTGCGCAATGAATATGTGATTGTTATAATTGTACTCTCCATTTTGCTTCGTTCTACTACAAAGTTTCAAGTATTTTGTTTGTTATAATTACTTTTTATATTTTATAATTTTAAGAGAATTTCAATATAATGTTCTGAACAGCTGCAGTTTTAGTTAGACGTTAAATATTTTCATTTAATTTTATGCTAAATTTCTGCTTTCCAACGCCTCCTACAATAACAGAGTGCAGCGCCACATTAAATACGCACTACAATGGCAATTGTTTAAAGTTCAAGTTCATTTTTCAAGTTAATGTATTAGGTATAGCCATGTGAGCCATACGTCTCTTGAATCGGGTGCAACCGCAACAAACAAAAAACAAAAACATGAACAAAAAACATCTTAAAGTGACTGAGTGCAAACAGAAAATCCAAGAAAAGACAGTAAAATATTTCAGAAAAAGCACCGTACACAAAAATGTGCAAAAATCCCAGTGGGATGCAAGTCAAACAACAACAACCACAAGACACCTTAGATTAAGGCAATCAGTCTAACTCTGTACTACAACAAACAAACATGGCCAAACCAAAAAACTTATGGAAAATTACCAAAATAAAGCCATAAAAGCAATGATCATAGGAACTGTGACAGAATTTTCACAATAAACGACGTTAACAACATGTACTACCAAACTCTGCAGCCATAGGTGGCTGCATGTATTTTCAAAATAGAAATATGTTTTTTGGGGGGGGGGTAGAGCTTTGTGTCGTCATATTTGAGGGGGGTCTGACTTTTTGTGACGCCGTGTGACGAGGGGGGGGGGGTCAAAAATCGTCCAAAATCGCGTGACGTCATTTATGGACGGCCCCTCTATACTAACCCACCTGGTAGCTTGTATCACTCTTTCGCCTCAGTGCCACTGGAGCTATGCACTTTTAAATCTAAATTGAAAGCTAATATCTTTATAACTGCTTTTTATGTTTCATTTGTTGTCCTTTCCCCGCACCTCCGATTAGCGCGCTTGGCAACGTGCCAAGTTCAACAGTAAATACAGCTACTTCCTGAAAGGCTATAAGAATAGGTTTTCCCCTTTATGGCAATAAAACAGGCGTTAAAATACTCTTGGGTTCTTTCGGTAAAGTCACGTAGGTATAAAATATACCTAGGTATAAAATATACCGACGTGACTTTACCGAAAGAACCAAAAAGTATGGGTTCCTGCAGTCACGAAAGCTTCAAAGCAAGGCGTTAAAATGTTCAAACACCAAACAGAAACCTTTCGTAAGGAATCATGTCTGCATTAACCACACACGGTGCTTGTTATGTACGTATGTTGAACTTCTTTCGCACCATACATCGTCAACCGTGTTGATCGGAGGTTACATCAGCAAAGCAAACAGGCAGACAATACAGTACACCATATTTTTGTCCCTTTACATAATAAAGACAATTATACATCCGACGAGCCAAACGGTCTTTTGGGAGCGCGTAATTCCAGCAGCATTGGTTCAACGCAAGCAAACTCTGGATCGGTTTCGACATTTCGTGTCTCATCAGGATAGTCAGGCTTGCTTGAACCAATGTTGGATAAATTCCATATGGTTAAAGGCACGTCATACGGATTTCCACTTACACGTTTCTCAATGACATTTGCTGGCCTACTTTCAATCAACAACATCAATTACTATACTACCGGTCCTCCAAGGGTAACTTATTACACTCCATAATAGTTAACGTGACTCTATGACAATTAAACGCGCAAGTGGCAATGGCTATAAAAGCACATGATTCATAGTCGCTCTTACCTTGTGAGGTTTAAAACAAATTGGTATACATGAACATGTTTTGAATGTTCAGCGTTCGTGTTGTCCACCTACGCGGTGTCTTTATTATAGGAGGCAAGGGTCTTCGAAGAAAACAACAACAGCAGCAGCCGTTCGCCACCAAGAAGGGGTGATGTCACCACGGCGCTTGTGCCAAGCTAGGTGCACTTTGAGGCCACGTGAAGTGTCGAAGGATTGCAGACAGGAGTTCACGCGACAGACCCCATGTGTTGTGAGTTGACTTGACTCGGAAGACTGTCAGATTCACCACCCGTGCCTCGCTACTGACTTACAACAATGACGTCGGGTCTAAGCTACGAGAGGATGCGTTGCAGCGCTTTACGAATCTTGCGAGTGTGTGGGGTCTTAGCCAAGTGTCTAAGCAACTGTGGGACCACATTAGCTCGTAGATGCTTTTATATAGAGACGTGTTGATGACGGAAACTGAAAAAAGCCACATTCCGAGATGATTTGGAGCTGGTTCAAACTCGATAGGCACGTATTTTGTACATTCTGTCACACCATGACCAAGTGTGCTATTGATGATGGTTATCTGAAGCAAAGCGGCATTGAGTGAAGGTCAGGTAGAGTCAGGGAGGCTTCGTGAGGAGGGGACAAGACTGGGGTGGGTGAGTAGGTGAGTGAGTGGGGTGGTTGAGTGCATAGGTGAAAGAGTGGGTGGGTGAGTAGGTGAGTGTGTCTATAGGTGAGTGAGTAGGTGGGTGAGTGGGTGAGTGAGTAGGTGGGTGAGTGGGTGAGTGGATAGGTGAGTGGGTGGGTGAGTAGGTGAGTGGGTGGGTGCATAGGTCAGTGAGTGATAACAGGAACGTGCGGTCAGGGGAGGCATAGCCTCACCTGTCATACTCTAATCTGTGTTATGTCATTTCTGTATGATTCTAATCATTTGGAAACGTACAGAAGTGAAGTTCCTCATATCTTGATGCTGGTAGTGTACGTGGCTTCTCTTTCAGTTAGGTTGGTAGTCGTAGAACTCTGCGATGGCCCTCTTCACACATATGGCCAAGACATATTTCGGGTGGCAGTGGCTCGTTGTGAGGTTGTATCCGTGGATGTGGTAGCGGCCGGCATGTAGGAGACAACACAAACGTTGGTTTCTTGGAGCGCCAGGACATCAATGTTACGTAGGTGTTCATTACGATCGCGAGATACTCCTCGTACTTCGCCCGGGAGAGTCGTTCAATCATCAGTTGGGGAGGATCCTTGTCCCAGGGCTTCTCTGGCGCATTATTTTGCCCTGAGGAGGCCCATTGGTGTGGCTTGTATTGTTGCTCTGGAGACGGGGAGATCGATGATCGGTGTTAGGTCGCCACAGTGATGGCATTCGTCGTGATTTGTCGCTGAATAGAGTGGGCTGCGTGTCCTCCACTCCTTCTGTGACTTAAGCGACCGTCTAGGAACGTATGACGTCAATGATGCTTGGGCGCCGCGGTGGCGAGATGTTAACTCCCTCGCCTGATATGCATGATGTCCGTGTCGGTGATCGAACCCACGACCTCCTGCATACCAGGCGAGGGAGTTAACATCTTGCCACCGTGGCGCCCAGTGGCTTACAAGGCACTCAGTGGGATCGCCTCACGATATTTGCAGGAGCCGGTCCGTGTTTACTCCCCAACGTGGTCCCTGAGATCTTCAGGGACCTCGAGATCGTCAGGTCGCCTTCTTTTCAGGACTCCGAGGTCAAGGTTGCAGAACGAACATATTGTGAAGGTCGCGCTCATTACGCACACAAAGTGCTCGCTACATATAAACCACAGTACGTCTTAGCTGATCTCGTCAAGGAGGATAAACCATCATCACGCAAACTCCGGTCATCATCCTCACAGCTTTGTCTCAGCCACCGTAGAAAGACGGCAGTCACCGCATTGCCCGTGTTCAGATGCACTTCTGCGGCCGTCCGGAACGCTCGGATTTCCTGATATTAGGAAGCCACTGGAGCAATGCACTTTTAAATATAGATTGACAAAATAATTTATTGAGAACTGCTTCTTGTTATGTTTAGTTTGTTGTCCTCCCCCCGCACCTTGGCTGCGTACGGTGCGAAAGAAGAAAGAAAGAAAATACATACAAGGCTCCGTTCTCGGGGTGAGCTGCAGCACTGTGCAGTGCCCAGACTATGTAACAACACTTTTCCTTTGCCAATAAGACAATTAGAGTTGTTATCTATATCTGAGCCTGTCTTGGAAGCTCGCCTCTTAAAACTGTCCTTTACCCCCCTGTTGCTGGCCGTTTACCCTGCAGGTTCTGTTTATCTTCTGGTTTTCTATACGCATCACGCATTGGTGGCTGGGATCTATGGATGAAATGCACCACTTTACAAACGTCAATGATAATTATATTATTATCATGTAGAGCTGTATATTTTGGAAGCAAGGCATTGGAATCAAACGTGAACTGAACGCCAGTGCAAGTGCTGCAAATACAGCTTGGGTGAGATTTTCATATTTCTTCGTTCTTGTTATAGACTCTGGCAGCATGTAGAGTGCTGCACTAGTATATGTTGTTGTAATTGAGAAATAAATACCAATGGATTATATAGCTGAGAAGGCATTGGAGGCCGTCCATAATGACGTCACGCGATTTTGGACGATTTTTGACCCCCCCCCCCCCTCGTCACACGGCGTCACAAAAAGTCAGACCCCCCCTCAAATATTACGTCACAAAGCTCTGCCCCCCCCCCCAAACCATATTTCCATTTTGAAAATAAAACATGCTTTAAATCGCTTTAAACTATTGTCATTGTAGTGCGTATTTAATATGGCGCTGCATTCTGATGTTGTAGGAGTGTTGTTATAACAATTAGTGTTGTTATAACAATTCTATATTTATTTAAATTTGCGCATTTTGATGTGACGTCACATTTCTCAAACACCCCCGCACCTCGTCACACATCGTCACAAATGTCTGACACCCCACCCCCCTCGGTGCGTGACGTCATTTATGGACGGCCCCTTGGGTATTTAATAGAACTGGCGACCCTCTGGGATGTAAACTGCAGCGCGTTACAAAGAATCGCAGTAACTCTTACCGGGAATAATAATAACACAGGAGTTGTGTTAAGATGTTCAAACACCAAATGGCCACCTCCTATTGCAAGGCATCATCAGGTCCGCATTAACCACGCATCATGCTTGTGGTATAATGGACGCATTGCACTTGAAACTGATTGGCCTACATCACAGCAGAGACGGCCTCCTTTATGGCCTCATCTCACCGGTAGCAATCGAGCAAAGAACGTGAAAAAGGCGAACAGTACAAGGGCTATGCAAAAAAACAATGCTATGATGCTGTATGCATTGTCCTTGAAAATTGATGGTCCGACACCACAGCCTCCATCATGGCCTTGTCTCACCCGGTGTCAGACTCAAGAGAACAACGCCAAAAGTCGAACAGCACAAAAGGGCGACGCGGATGAGAAGGAATGTGTAATGACGCCGACCCACGTCCCGGCTCGAAGCCTTTGATTGGTCGCAGCACCAACACTAGGGCGGGGCTTCGTTCGTGATGCTCGTAGCTCGTCCTCTACTCGAACGTCCCCTCCCCTTGTGCTGATTAACACACGGCCTACGCGGAGGGTGGTGGTGGGGGGGATGCGTGACGTCAGCAGGCACACTGCGTGACGCTGCCGCATGCGCGTGACATTACAGATGTGACGTCACCGATCACTTGCCGTGCAAAATATACGCATTATTGCGCCCCCCCCGTCCTCCCCACAAAAATTACAAAGTCTATTTTGATACTTTTTGCATTGTGTACAGTCTGCAAACTACCCACATGCCAAATTTCAAGTTTTTTGCATGTCGGGAAGTACGCTAAACATTTTGAACAGACACACATGATCACAAATGTCCCTTTAATATATATTGATGAGCTGCCCTTCTCGAACATCCGCTCACCCCACTCTCTTCGTCCAGTCCTCATCGTCTTGCACCAATGGTTCTCGACCGTCGTCTCAACCCTCCACCTGTCTCCCGACTTTTTTCCGTTCATATTCTCTCCTCCTATCCCTTTGAATCTTGCCTCCCGACAAATCGCGATGGTGGCCTTGGCAGAGGTCGCAACCGGGTACCCGATACCCGTACCCTACCCGGCTACCCGTACCCGGCCGGGTACGGGTACCCGTTTGCGACCCTGGTGCGGCCGGGTACGGGTACGGGTAGGCCGTGAGTCACTGGTGAGTCACCGTTTGTCACTCATTTCCCAACGTCTTGCCTCTTCTCACAATTCAAGTTCCTAGAATCAACCCACCCGCGCCTGCAACATGGCTTCATCCCAGAGGTCGCAATCGGGTACCCGTACCCTACCCGATACCCGGCCGGGTACGGGTAGCCGGGTATTGGGTAGGGTACGGGTACGGGTACCTGTTTGCGATCCTGGTGCGGCCGGGTACAGGTACGGGTAAGGAATCAAACCCCGTTTGCGACCTCTGGGCCTTGGTCTATTTCCTGGAAGTCTGTTGGTTGGCTTCGGGCGAGTGATCTGGAATGTGGGTCATTGCACAATTATAGATCGGGTTGAGCAAAACAACAACAACAACAAAAAACCCATTGCACCACGACAGCATTTCAAACACAGTCGAGGTAAGGGGTTAATAACGTTGTTGTTGTTTCTTTTCCTCCCCCGCACATCATTGCGGGACGAGACATCACGCCTGTGAAATCCCCCTCGGGAAATTGTGCAGCTTGCGATGCTCAAACAGTCTTCCTTAAAATATCGTTTGTTTGGTGTTGGTGTTGCGAAGAGACGGGCACACAGGTGAACTGTGCGTGGCTACATTGATGTCCCTTGCCCATAGAAGCGATCTGTCGGGATACAAACACAAAAGTATTTTATCAGGCTATATCCACTGCTGGTATTAGTTACCTGGTGTGTACAATGAGTCGTGTGCCATGTTTGAGACTTCGCCAAACGTCAACGGGCAGAGAAGGTGCAGGAAGTGAGAATACAATAATTAAGCAAGTCAGCTGAGCTGAGTAAGTGAGCTGAGCTGAGTCAGTTACACTGAGCAAGTCAGCTGAGTGGAGCAAGTCAGCTGAGCTGAGTAAGTGAGCTGAGCTGAGTCAGTTAAACTGAGCAAGTCAGCTGAGTGGAGCAAGTCAGCTGAGCTGAGTAAGTGAGCTGAGCTGAGTCAGTTACACTGAGCACGTCAGGTGAGCTGAGCAAGTCAGTTAAACTGAGCAAGTCAGCTGAGCTGAGCAAGTCAGTTAAACTGAGCAAGTCAGGTACACTGAGCAAGTCAGGTGAGCTGAGCAAGTCAGGTACACTGAGCAAGTCAGGTGAGCTGAGCAAGTCAGGTGAGCTGAGCAAGTCAGTTAAACTGAGCAAGTCAGGTGAGCTGAGCAAGTCAGTTACA